CATAGACATCTCTAAATGTCAATTTTGCTTCATGTGGTAACTCCTTTGCAGCTCTGCTGAGGATTTAAAACTAATTTAGTGATTACAGAGGATAACAAAACAGGATGGTGGTGTTTTATTGCTTCATCTGCCTCCCTGACCTCATGGAAATAAATTATATTTAAAATCTACCTGGGAGAGCACTGAGACATTCCTGAAGTCGCCCCAGCTATCTGGGCACAGCCCTCTTAATGCTTGAGACAGGCTGGACCATAGACTGTTCTAAAAAATAATCTAAAAACCACAAATATCTTTTTATCTAAATTTTTTTTATCTAAAATCAACAGGGAAAAAATTAAATATTTATTTAGGGACAACAGATTACTTTGCTGAAAAGATAGGGTTTTTTGGGGGAAGGAATAAGTAGGAAAAACTGAGTTTGATGCAGAAATTAGGAAAATTAGGGAAATCCCCAGCTAGGTGGGGATTTTTCTGTAGAGGTCTGTGAGTATTTTGGGATTAGTTGAGGGAGTGTATTTTGGGGTGAAAGCTGTTCCACACCTGTAATGGCTGGTTTTTAATGGCAATGCCAAGCTGGAATCCTTTGCCCAGGTGAGAGGAGGAGTTTGCTTTGTGTTTGGTGTTTCTGGGCAGGCTGGGTGTGCTGTGCTTCTGTGCTTAAATGTGTTTGGTGCTTCTGGGCAGGCTGATTTGGGAGTTTTGCTGCCCTAGGGCCTGTGGGGGACTGCAGTTCTGTGAGTGTCCCTACAAAGGGCAGAGAAAATCATGCATCTGACTCCATGGATATCAGAATTACTTTTATAATAATTATTAATAATTAATTACTTTATTATACTATATTATTCTAGGCTAATTAATTACTTTATTATACTGTATTTATTTATTTATATTTATTATAATATATTTACTTTATTATACTATAATATTATTTACTTTATTTACTTTATTGTACTATATTATTCTAGGCTAATTAATTTATTATACGATATTTATTTATTTATATTTATTATACTATATTTATATTATTATACTATAATATTATTTACTTTATTGAACTTATTTACTTTATTATACTATAATATTCTAGGCTAGTTAATTACTTTATTGTATTTACTTTACTGTACTTATTTACTTTATTATACTATAATATTATTTACTTTTTTATTTACTTTATTATACTATATTATTCTAGGCGAATTAATTACTTTATTGTACCATAATTATTTATTTATATTTATTATACTATATTTATCTTATTATACGATAATATTATTTACTTTATTGAACTTATTTACTTTATTATACTATCTTATTCTAGGCTAATTAATTACTTTATTATACTTTATTTATTTATTTATATTTACTACACTATATTTACTATATTATACTATAATATTATTTACTTTACTTATTTACTTTATTATACTATTTTATTCTAGGCTAATTAATTACTTTATTGTACCATATTTATTTATTTATATTTATTATACTATATTTACTTTATTATACTATAATATTATTTACTTTATTGAACTTATTTACTTTATTATACTATAATATTATTTACTTTACTCATTTACTTTATTATACTATATTATTCTAGGCTAATTAAGTATTATTATACTATATTTATTTATTTATTTATTTATATTTACTATACTATATTTACTATATTATACTGTAATACTATTTACTTGTTTACTTTATTATACTATATTATTCTAGGCTAATTAATTACTTTATTATACCTTATTTATTTATATTTATTATACTATATTTACTTTATTATACTATAATATTACTTACTTTACTCATTTACTTTATTATACTATATTATTCTAGGCTAATTAATTA